TAAACAGATAAAAGTACTTTAGAATTTCCCAAAGAAAATCGGTAATTATTCCTTAAATATAATCTGGTATTTCTATTTTGTTCCACATCTATTAATCGAAATGAACCCAAGATAAGAAGGGGAATGTTTCTTCAGGAATAATATTTTCTTATTCGGTACACATCTAGTAATAGAATAAGTCCAAGTTAAGACGAGGAAGATTTCTTCGGGAATAATATTTTCTTATTCGGTACACATCTAGTAATCGAATAAGTCCAAGTTAAGACGAGGAAGATTTCTTCGGGAATAATATTTTCTTATTCGGTACACATCTAGTAATCGAATAAGTCCAAGTTAAGACGAGGAAGATTTCTTCGGGAATAATATTTTCTTATTCGGTACACATCTAGTAATCGAATAAGTCCAAGTTAAGACGAGGAAGATTTCTTCGGGAATAATATTTTCTTATTCGGTACACATCTAGCAATCGAATAAGTCCAATTTAAGACAGGGAAGATTTCTTCAGGAATAATATTTTCTTATTCGGTACACATCTAGTAATCGAATATTTCTTCGGAAATAATATTTTTTTATTTGGTACACATCTAGTAATCGAATGAGTCACTGGGCGTATTTCTAATGAGCACCCGATGGGGGTTAATTTATTCGCGACATAGTCGGAGATTTTCTGGAAATTGAATATATATTTAAATCATCACACTTGGCGGCGCATATCGATGGGTTTGGGTGACCAATATTTACTTATTCCATTAGGAGATCAAACTGCCTGGTTGTTAAGCAACCCAGATTCTATCCCGCCACCTCTCAGTCTAGACAGGAAATGAAGGAAAAGAAGACGGGCGGAAGAAAGAAAGAAAGAAAGAAAGAAAGAAAGAAAGAAAGAGGAAATACAAAGAAAGCGTGTCACTTGATAAACTGATAATACGTCTGATTTTAATTTAAATATTGAGGGCCATGTCGTAGTTCGAATTTTAACAGAGTTATTTAAGGAGGTGACTTCTTAATAAAAGCATCTTGAGAAGATTATCCCAGCGTGGGGAATCGTTGGGAGGTGTCAGAAAATCGTACTACGGCATGACCCAAGCCCTGTGAGTGTAACTGGTTAGACTAAGCTGTTCTATGATAGTCATTTAAACTGGCTGAATTCATTTTTTACCATTGTTCATCAAGTACAAAACCAAAGAGCCACTCAATTTAGAGGGTCACTAAATGACGTTATCGTTAGGGTGTACAAGAAGAAAGCAAGTGGTGCATATTATGAGAATATGTAAGATACATAACGATTGACCCGAGAATTGAATCGATTAAGATTGTAGTGATGGAGTAGGTATACTCTCAGGGGTCTGTTCCACAATGCAGGTTTTTCGGATGGAACTTCTTACTTACTAATGCAATACGAACGAAGTGGCATGGAGGGTCCTACCCCTAAAGATTTAGGCTGTTAAAACCGAGGAGTGTAATTCATCCAAGAACCTCCCAGGGAAAAAATAAAGGGGCGTGAAGCTAGTAACATTGCATCAGTGGGAAAGGGCTGTGGGGGGCGGTACAGTATCATGTCTATACGATGTTATCTACTTGGGGGAGGCGATCCCACACTTCGTTGGAACGTACCTGAAATCATTCCCCACGCGTGGACTCAAGCCTTGCGGGTTAAATTGCACAGACGGATCTATTTGGAAGCCGTCGATGGTTGTATTAGCACGAAGTTACAAGCCATTGTGACCGAGGCTTTGAGCGCACTGGCCTTCTTCAGATTGTTGATCATGCCAGATAATGCCCTCTCTCCTAGAAAGGTCCGCTCAGCATAGTAACAGCCTAAACCACTGGTGGGCTCTGTGGGTGTTGAAGAAACAGAAATGTGGCGGAACAGGCGTCTGCAGCAGGGATTGACTAGCCGCCCTACTAGATAGGCACACTAGGATAGGAGCAGTCAGCCACGATCGATACTGTAGGCAATATGAAATTAAAATCTTATGTTCTGAACAGTGTTACATGTTAAGATTTAATTGATGGATTTTTTATTTATTTATTTATTTATTTATTTTTTTGCAGAGGTTTGGGGGCTTAACAATCTTTTGCAGGTCATTTAAAATCAGAAAATATTGTTAGATTGTAAGATTTCTTTTTTTAAAATTAATAATCATTTACAGATTCAACTCCTACTAATTAACCCATAACTGGGGGAGAATGCCTTTCCACGGTGCATTAAGTGAATAGAACGAGACCGAATGGAATTGGAACTCGATTCAGTGACAGGACCCAAAGTGTGTGAGTTCAATACCCAGTTAAGGCAGTGGAGAACTTTCAGAGGGGAAAATTAACAGGAGATAACTGATAACTGACATCCATTAAAACATGGCACGTGGAACTAGAACAGTCTAACCCAGCGAGCGAAATAAAAGGTTCAGTTCTACATTCCAACCACCTGAAGAAGGCCAGAGTGTACAACGGCCGAAACGTTGTAATAAATATGGCAACGAAGATGAGGAGGATAGTCCAAACAATATAAATATTATATTTATTAAAATATTAAAATATCTGTTTAAATGCGCTGCAAATGGTTGTTAAGCCATTGTAAACGAATCAATCAACAACAACAAAAAAAAACTTACTATAAATTATTCTACTAGGATATGTGTTTATTTCAGGGATCTTTTAATTTGTTAAAAATTCTCTACGGTAAATGAATATCTTTATCTATGTCACTTCAGGATGTGGGCGATCATGGCTCTCCCCAATTTCCTCTCCTTTGTAGTTCTTAGTAAAGTTTGTCTTTTTGCTATCTCTCCTAATCCCTGTTCTGCCAGTCATTTACACAAGCATGTTTACATTTTGTTTCCGTGCTGTATCCCTTCAGGATGTTCGTGATCAAAGCTCTCCACAGCTTCTTCTTTGTAAATCTTAGTAAAGTTGATATTTTTGCGATCTATCCTAATCCCTGTTTTGCCAATCATTTACACAAGCTCGTTAGATAGATTAGTCACTGCTTCCCGCTTGCTTTCAAGATGCCCTGTGAGTGTTAAATTTTTCAAGCCCTCTTTCCTCATTATGTGTCATAGAAATTCTGTCTCTTTCTGACGTTCTTTTGTCTTCATTTCCTCGATTGTTGCCTGCGTCAATGATACTCTAACTAAGTATCCTTCTGAAGAAGAATATTTTTGTTGTTTCGAATCTCTCGTTCATCAGCAAGAAGACTCTTCAGCATTCATTACCATAATGGAGGAACGATATTAAATAACAGTCTAGTACTGTTTTTTTTTCTGACGAAATATTTCTTTACATATAGAGATGGTTCGTGTGTGTGTGTGTGTATATATGTGCATGTGTGCGCATATCTATCCGCCTGCGTCTGTATCTATCTGTACTTTTATAGTGTGCCTATGTATATGTTTAGGCGTATGTTTGTGCATTTATGCCTGTGTGTGAGTGTGCCATTTTCTCTCTATCCGTGTAGTTGTGTGTATGTTCTTTCAAATACAAAGGTTACTCACATAAAAGAAATGTTTCTCTCGTTGTAGATATGGCAGAGTTTTTGTTTTATTTTCTGGCCAACTTGCTACGTGTACAATTGCTTTGAATCACGCGTGCGCTATTTATTCAATCAAGAGAAAGAAAATAGCGATAGGGCTGCCATCGAGTCGTGGATTTCAGTTCTATGACTTAAAAGACAACAAACTAATATATGCTTTTGAGATGAACACCGCGAAAGGAACATTCTTAAAATTTATCCACGTAGCTTTTAAGAAGACATATAAGGTATAAAAAGAAAGTTGAACTGCCGAGGGGAGAGACGCATTTAGCTGAGGTAATCATAAACCTTCCCACATCAGTGTGTTATGAGCGTGAAGGAAGAGACTTTTAAAAAAGTCGCGCCATTCGCAAAAATTAGTTGTCAGATAGAATGTCATTTGCTTTTCCAAGAGAGGGCGAGGTCAATATTTCAATGTTTATTAAATACAAACCTGAACTTACAGAGGGATCTATTAAAGGGATCGATGATATTCTCCCTCAAAAGTTGATGACATAGATAGTTAAATACATGTAAAAACAGTGATGCATTATATATATATATATATATATATATATATATATATAGTAGCATAATATAATATAAGGAACGGAAACAACAAAGACATAAATATGTGTACTACTTAAAAAGTAATGCATGATTAACAATGAAATTAGAGATTAGGGTGTAATGCATAAATATTATACAAAGTTACAAAAATTTACATAATAGTTTTTTTATTTTAAATAAAGATTAAATGGAAGAAAGGAAATAAGCTACTGGACAAAAGTTAAGGAACGATGTTAATAATTTGCATAAACTTTTAATTTACATTGTTAAAAAACTCGATGGAACTTTTCAACAATAAGTAAAAGTTCATTTATCATTAGGACTTTATTTTTAAGGAATATGGCAAATTCTACACGCAAAACGCTCTCTTTTGAAGAAAAAAAACTCATTATCGCTATCAAGAAAATAAGTCAATTTCAGAAATTTCTGATATTGTTCATAGGTCTAAAAG